TCCCGAATATTTGGTCTCAACATGTCATGGTACCGAGTCTTCCATATCGCCTCGTTTATGGCATACTGAAGTATCAATAGGGCTCTTTCTCTGAACTTGGCGGTGATCTCCTCCATGGTCTCAGTCTTATGTCGCATATCCAGAAACTACCTCGCTAATTGTTGCACCTCAACAGCTGGTACAAACTACGATCGAAACTGGGTCATAAAATCTGACCATGACATGGCCTCAATAGTTCGGCCCCCCAAAGTATAGCCAATCTCATCCCATCAATCCTAATCTCGCTCCCTCAGATAAACTCACCTTCAACTCCTTGGGGCAAAAGCTCATCATCTGGGAACACTCAATATCTACTAGCCAACGCATGATGGCAATAGGGTCCTTCACCTCAAAGAATTATGGCACCCACATCCCCTGAAATCCTTAAAGAAGTACATGTGGGCCCCAAACTCACTAGCGGAAAGATCAGCCCTAAAGATCCAAAGACAATTCTCCATCAACTCAATGATACCCTCCTTGGTCGACCCAAACATTAGTAGGGTCGCATCAAGGATACCTATAGTAATATCAGACGCAATGAAATCACGTAAACCCTCATCAATTGGTTCGGTTCCCTTACCCATACTAGATCTAGATCCTGAACCTCCTGCTTCACTACATGTCATCACCATGCTGAAACATAACACATAAATAATCAATACACACACAAAGAGGTTCACACTCTCGAGCTCCCTAGATTCATCATGGTATTCCTTCCTTTGGGTATAAATCATGTGCTTCCAGTAGTACGAGGCCAATACTACATTCCACACCTATTTATACCCTCCCCAAGGACTACCTTGAATCTTGCAAGTCACTCCTTCCTATCTAAAACTCTCCTCACACTATAAGGCATCCCACATACCAATACATATTCCAAGAACTTCATAGGGTTCCCTTCCTCACCATTCCCCACCATCAGTTGTAGAAGGAGCTTCCCCGACTAGCTTACAAATACAATTATACTCCATCGACTCCAGATAATTCTTTGAATGAAAGGTATCACACTACAACGGTTAGACTCAAACAAGAGTTGTGCAATAAATTTAAATCCTAACCTTCTAAATTTATCTAGTCTCAGTAATATGTAACCTAGAATATTCGCTTACTAGTTAGCTGAAGTAAATGGGAACTCCTAAAAAAGCACAAAGCAAGCAGCATTCGAGCATCGAGTAATCAGAATCAATGCATAACCTAAACAAGTCGTCCTATCACTGACTAATCAATACTAGTAGGCAAGTCTATAAGCTTATACAATAAACACATAAAGGCATCACTCCTAGCATTATATCATGCAATCTTAAGCAAATCCTTAGTCCTAGTCTAGCATGCTATTCTCATATCATAGCATGAAACATTTAATATGTATGTACATCTTAAGAAGACTCACTTGAGCTCGGCTGAATGCACACATCACATCCATTTCTTTTATTAAAATCCCTTAATTAAAATGTCCCTTTTTTATGGAAAATCTACCAAATCCTTAATTTGAGTTCAGGCACACCCAAGATTATGTCGTGAATCTCTCAAACCAAGGCTCTGATACCAACTTGTAACATCCCAAAAGTTTTGACAAAAATTTTATTTTAAATTCATTTCAAAACATCCAATAATCATGTCAAAACAACCAAAAGTGTATCATAATGAAATAACATCGCAGTACAAAATCCCAAAACCACACAATGTGGAAAACATGGGCGGATGCGGTGCGATCAAGACGGACCCTTCCCTTTCGAGTTGGAAGTTCCTGAAACATAAACTGAAAACCGTAAGCACAAAGCTTAGTAAGCTCCCTCAAAATACCTCATACCATATATACACACAATCAAAACATATATGGGTCTATTTCACCCTTTTCGATCTCTTTCAACTGATATCAGGTATATTTCAACCCCTTCGGTCTCTTTCAATCGTTATCGGGTCTATTTTACCTCCTAAAACTAGCATATAATTATAACGGTGATAGTCACAGAAAAAACAAACATATATAAGCATACAGGGAATTGTCACAAAGACAACTATCATCCTACTAACATAATCCAGTGGGTTGGCATTAGTGCCTTCGACCCATGTTTAGACTGAAGATATCAAATCACACTTGAGCTATTGAATCATGAAATTCTCTTACTAAATGACAAATAATAATTAAAAACATTAATTAGATATTAGGTCATAAACCACAAACACGGTCCCAATTCATCATTCTTAACCTCTAGGGTAAATGACTATTTTACCCTTTTCTATAGTGGCCCAAGGCCCGAAAATGGCCCAATCGATAAACCTAAAGTCTAACTATGGACCAACGGATACAAAGCCGAAAATTTAGCTAAGGCCCAAATCCCAAAAGGAGTCCAAGACCAAAAAGAAGGCCCAAAACAATAGAAGCCTATTTAACAGTGTACGCCCTTCGTACAACTCATACACATAGCATACGAGAGTTGACTCGAAAAGCGGGTGCTTGACCTTGTATGCCCAACGTATACGCAACGCACTAGCTAGATGGAAAATCCTCAACTTTTTACTTAGCCACTTCAATTCTTAACATCCAAACTTTAGATCTACATCATTTTAAGGTCGTTACATGTAAAGTTTGCAAATTTACAGTTTTGCATGACTTAATGGGACCCAATACTTCTTTTTGACCATTAAGACCCATAATAAGATCCCTAACTCATGCATGGTCCAATATAACACATCAAGACAACATTTTATTGTACAAGGAACATCATAGAGGCTAAGATCTAGCATCCCTGGCTTCTAGAGTAGCTCATACTCCCAATCATGACTTAATGGACCCTAAAATGCACAAAATCAAGCCCTAAACTAGAACTAGCTATCATAAAGAACCGTCAACTTAAAGAGTTTTACACTTCAAAAAGCTTTTCAAGTTGGTGATGGTTCTGGATGCACAAGCTTCAACTACATAAATGCAACTTCCAAGAGCTCTTCTTCCTTCAAGATCACCAAAACACCCTTAAAGGTCACTTCCAAGCTCAAAACACTCAAATGACAATCAGGGTTTCTTTCTCAGGGTTTGGAGAGGTAGAGGCTGGTCATAAGAAGGTCAAATAACAACTTAATGTGTTTAAATAAGGCTCAAACCCTAAAATTTTGGGTTTGTCCCAGGTGACCGTACGCCCCACGTACTCCACGTACACCTAGCGTATGTGGATGTCTGCGCGATCAACCTTTCGACCCAGTATGCCCTGCGTACTCCTAGCGTACGCCCATCGTACTGGCCAAGGACCAAAATGCAATAGATTTTAAGTTTGAGGGCAAAATAGAAATACCAAAAATGCAAATGCTACATTTAATTTCCTAATTATAAGACTATTAAAAAAATATTAAAAAATATAGAAAATATATTAAAATGGTATGGTGGGAATTTCAAATTTGATAGGAAGATAATCCACAAAAAAATTATTATATTTGCAAGTTGAAAACATATTGGACTTTTATCTCGATTTCTTGAAAATAAAAACCACTTAAAATGTATCAAAATGATGTGACTCCAAAAACCGACCCTTTAATAGTCTGTATAAATGACCTTTGATCTAGGATATCTTGTGTCACCCTCTCATTAATACCTCTTACCCACCATTTATAATGGCAAAAAGAAAAAAAAACACAGAGTGTACCAAACACGAAAATACTTACAATCAAAGATAGTGCCAATATTCTTATAAGTTGCTTAGATAATGATTAGTCGAATAGACTTAGGGAGAACATCATGTTGATAAAAATGCAAATGCTTGAATACTAATCATGGACATTGTAGTAAAAGGTTTCCATAATGACGACTTCGGGGATGAAATTTGATATTGAACACCATTTTATTCTTAAATAGCTTTTCTTTTAGGTGCTTTATCATAGACGTAGTCTTTATCACAAATCGACCAATTTTGTCATTCTCATAAAAATAAATATAAAAAAGATAAAAAAAACATCGGGTGGTATATCTCAAAAGGATAGCTATCCTACTCCACATCCTCTAACGATGAACTCTATCGATGTTTGAGTTCTTTCACTTTTCGTCGCAAGTATTTAATTGTGATGTTATCTTTTTCTATATGCATATCTCGTATTTTTCGAGCGTCAATTGCTCCATCTTTTTGCCTAATGTTGTGGTTTGCAGCTACACAAAGTCTTCCACACTAATGTACTATCTCAATGGACTCTAATACTAAATGACATGGAAAACATAAAATAAAAATGATTGGACTTGATAGTAACAATGCACAACAAGAACAATTTGTGTTGTTAGGTTTTTTTCATGATTTTTCAAAACATGTAAAATTATAATAATCATAAAGAATTGTCTATGGTTTAGTAGATACTTATTAACTAATAAGTATAAATTAAAATAACCCTAAAAATGCATTAAAATTCGATAACTCGAAAAACTACTCATTAATTTCCCGCCCGAATGGCCTTTGAGCAAGGATTTATGCATCACAACCTTACAACATACTAAATGGAGATACAACACCCATAAAATACATGTTTTAGTGACTTAAGTATAGGATAACTACAAAATGTTGTATCTTGTACGGACCAATTTCTTAAGTGTAGGAATCAACTCTCAATGAATCGTTTTGGATGTAGCAAAACAAGTGAGAACGATTTTACAAGTCAATGCTTGTTTCCAGATTCTTATGAATTTTATGTACAACAAATATATCATGTATAATTTGTATAATATCTTAAAATAATTAACAATATAACTGTTTTTTGAGTAAAAATATTTGACAAATATGTTAGTATATTAGGTGATTTTCAATTACCCGACCGTTTTCTTAGCTAAACTTTTAGTTATACATTTATACTAACTAAACTCACGATGGAAAAAACTATATTTTAAATTAAATACTTTTATTATGAATTTAAAAATGACCACTTAAGCCTTTAACAATATATCCTAATTTTTTAATGCTCCTAACAATAACATAATGTCATTATAGGTAGCCGCTTTGGCACCAAATGTACCTGCCCTCTATGAGCTGCATTTTGGTGTTCCGATGGTCGGTGCGATCCTTTCTGCACTCAACACAAGTCTCGATCCACTCACATTAGCAATCACACTCCAACAACTGGAACCCAAAATCATATTTGTTCATCATCAACACATTCAAACTGTTCTTGAAGCATTCCGGGTACTATCGCCGGAAAAACCAGCAACACCATCACCACGCCTAGTTCTCATAAGCGGAAAACATTCCGCCACTGTCCCATCAAACACTCTCTGTTACAACGATCTTCTTTCTTTAGGAAAACCCGATTTCAAGATCATAAATCCAAATGATGAATGTGATCCAATTTCCATAAATTTCACTTCAGGCTCAACCGGGAAGCCCAAGGGGGCTATATATAGCCATAGAGCGGCGTACTTAAACTCTTTGGCAGTTATCTTCAGATACGATATGAGAAAAAGGCCAGTTTTCTTATGGACGGTGGATATGTTTCGCTGCAACGGGTGGTGCTTTCCATGGGTGGTGGCGGCATTGGGTGGCACTAATATTTGCATCAAAGAAGTCACAGCGGAGATTATCTTTGATTCGATTGTGATCCATAAGGTAACACACTTGTGTGGTTCGCCTACCATTTTAGACAAGATCGCAAGTTCCAAAGCCAAACCTATTCCATCACCGGTTGATCTAATTGTGGCCGGACCTTTGCCACCTTCAGATACCATTCTGAAAATTGAGAGCATGGGATTCAACATTCACCATGGGTATGGAATGACAGAAGCTCTAGGACCCATGACTCATACATCTTTGAGAACAGGAAACGAAAAGGATAATGAGAACATAACATGTCGCGAAGGAACTCACAACATTTTAATGGAAAATGTCGATGTGAAAGACCCTGAAACAATGATCAGTGTACCATATGACGGGAAGACGATCGGTGAAGTTGTGTTTAGAGGTAATGTTATGATGTCCGGGTACCTTAAGAACATCGAAGGGACACAAAAGGCGTTTAAGGGCGGGTGGTATAGAACTGGGGACCTTGGTGTTAGAAACCCTAATGGTGATATAGTAATGAAGGATCGAGTTTTGGATAGCATTGTTTCTGAAGGGGACATTGTGAGCACACTAGAGATTGAACAAGTTATAAAGAATCATCCCTTCATAAAAGAAGTTGCGGTTGTTGGGAAGCCAAACCATATTGTTGGTCAAAGTCCTTCTGCATTTGTGACACTGAAAGATGATTGTACTTTAAGTAGCAACGATATCATCAAGTTTTGTGAGGAAGAACTGTTGCCTCGGAATATGATCCCTATAGACGTTGTATTTGGGATTTTGCCCAAAAATTCCACGGGCAAAATTCTAAAATATGTTCTTAGGGAAAAAGCCAAGGCCATTGAGGCTATCAACTTGATGAATGGACATTGAGTGTTTATGATTTTAACTCCCACTTGTTTTGTATCTATCTCAAATAAGATATTCTATATATACATGTTATAGTATGAAACTTCAATTTTTATTGTTTTCATTCTAGATAGCATGATTCAAAGTTTTATACTTGTCAAAATAATGGAACGTTGCAACAAGGTGCTTTAATTTTCTCATTCCAATGACGCATCCATGATGGAATAAATTTTATATAGTTTAATGAATTTACACAATATTATTTTAATTTTTATATATTTTAATTTTTTCTTTAAAGTTCGTTCAACTATATTTTAATTTTCATACATTTTAATTTTTTCTTTTAAATTCATTCAACTATACAAAAGGCCAATAGAATATACTTAAAAAGATTATTTGTTAATCATTATATATTATCAAAGTTTATTAATTAATGAATAGTTCACCGAACACTAAATTTTATATTATTGAATGTTAATGTAAAAATTTATTATGATTGAGTTTAGTTAATTGAATGAGATTCCACGTTAATCAACTATTTTATTTATTTTTTATTTTATTTATTTTTTGAAACGTTAAATCTAACATACTCCTAAACTACACCTTAAATTCACATATGTCTACGACGGGACTTGAACCGTCAATCTCAAAAAAGGAGAGCAACACCGAATACCGTTGAGTTAGAAACCATTTGGATGCTTTAATCAATAGTCCTATTTATTTATTTATTTATTTTTGCATTGTACTAGAAAACAACATCATGTTCGAGCTCAATTCCAAAAAGCTTGATATAAATGAGAAAGAATAGTTGGAAAATTAGGATAAACAAAATTTTCGTTAATACAATTAGAGTTGTACAAAAGCAAACAATTTTGAAAAACCAATTATTTGGTTTTATGTTTTGGAAAGACATTTCTTTTTTTCTTTTTTCTTTTCAGTTTGATTTCTTTATATATAAAACTCAAAAAAGAAAAAACCTGAATAGAATCGAAATACCCAAAATGATGTTTTATATATAAATTTAAGGGATTTATGCATTATAGCACAGTAAAATTTGGCGAATTTACACATTTAATCACTCAAGTATTTTTTGTGCTTATTTGGTCCATAACATTAGGAAATACCGGTTAATTAAGGGTTTGAGGGAAACTGTATCCTATTTACGGGTAACATGATGATGTAGCTGAATATTTTGAGCAAAACCCATATGGGATTTTTGACACTTTAACACAACAAAGTTTGGCGTATTTACACATTTAGTCAATCCTAACTTTAGGATTGAGCAAAACCCATATTCTTAACAAACTTATCCCTCTGCAAATATGGTTCTTACGCTAAGCATACTTGGGGCGTACACATGACGTAGTTCATTAGATGGATCGCGGGTGCATGTGAGTATGTCGGGCATACTCATGAGGTACGCAAGACGTACTCAGCAGGTATGCAAACCCTAATTTTTTAGGGTTTGAGCACTATTTAACCAACCTTAACCCTCAACATCCTTTCCACCTCCAGCCTTCATCCTCCCAAAATGACCCCTTGCAAACCGAAGTGTTCATTGTGAGTTTTTAAGCCATTTGTGTGCTTTGCGTCCATCCTTGAAGGAATAAGATCTTTGGAGTGCTTTTGGAAAGCTTCAAGCTTTGTAGATCTGAGTTTTTCACCATGTAAGCAACCTCTAAAAGGTATAAAGTTATGAAGTTGATGAATGTTTCCTTAGATCTTGCTAGTTCTTAAGCTTTTATGCATTTTGGTCCCATAATCTTGGTATTTATGAGTATGGCTTACTCTAAACCATAAGAGATATCCTTTCAGACATTTTTGAGTGCTAAGAACCATAAAAATGTGATCTTTGTCCCTTTCTTCCCTCCATATAAGTGTTATGATGCTTGGGTTTGTGTATTAAGTTAAGGTTTTGGTTTTTTGGACTCCTTCTAGCCATGGAAAGTCATAAATTTGGAAAGTTTATGATATAGAATGATATTTGGGACTAGATCTGAACTCCGGAAGTAATGTCTTAAAGGAATAAGCATTTAAACAAGAAAAGTATAATCAGGTCGTGTACATCGGGTGTACACAATGGTATGCAGCATGTACTGGGCAGAGGCCCCATAATATGGCCAAGGATCTACTACGCCCAACATAGTGATTGAGTATGCAGGGCATACTCAGTTTGTGTTGACCCCCTTTGACTTTTGACTTTGGCTTTGACCAGGATTTTGACCAAGTTTGACTTAGGGGTATTTTAGATAATTTGAATAGTAGTTTGAGACTAGGTCACTAATTATGGTATAGGTGACCGGTAGAGATAACATTTGGAGCAGTGATCTGTTCAGCTATATTTCAAATTGTAAGGTGAGTTTTCGTCACTATACTTGTGGGTCGTAGGCCCTAATGTCAGCCCACTAGATTATGTATCATGGTTAGGATGTTGCAATGTTATAGTGATTTATTATATCTGCATGAGTATCTATTATTTGTTGGATATTTCTTTATGTGTATACGTTGACACATTGAAACAGTTTAGGTTGAAGCGGTTCTATTTTGTGTTGAAGGCCAGGAAACCGGGAGCATTTTAGACATGGGCTGAGGACCCTGTAGGGTATACCAGATCCATGCTAAGGGCTCTAGAGCATTCCAGACATGTGCTGAAGGTCGAGAAGGGCCTTCCAGACTCATGTTGTGGGCCCAAGGGCAATCCAGACTTATACTATGGGCCCAGCGTACATGTTTATTTATGTTTTATGTGTGGTATTTTGGGAGAACTGACTAAGCTTTGACTTACAGTTTAAGTGTTATGTTTCAGGTACTTCAGATGATCGGGACAAGGCGATGATGTGATCGTACACATCCTTCACTGATATGTTTTCGTGATTTTATGATACACTAATTTTGGAATAACTGTATGTGATACTTGGTTTTTATGACTTGGGATTTGATTGAACAATGATTTTACTTTAATTGAAAAATGAAAATTTTTATCGTGATCAATGAGATATTACAAGTTGGTATCAGAGTCCTAGTTTGAGAAAATTAGATGAACATCCATGTAAATCAAGACTCAAAATAAGGATCTATACTTGTTTTCAAAATTGTTTTCGAAAGTAACCAAGGAAGGATAAGATGTGTATGATCAGCCGGAGCAAGAAAGTAAACCCCAAGATACCCACACAGTTAATTGTTTATGATGGTTATGATAGAACTACATGCTAGTAGTAGGTTAGGGATCTTCCAAAATTGCATGATTTAATTGCCTGATGTATGGTGTCTGATAGCCTAGGAGGATTTCTTGTATGTTAGATGGAATTGACAGCATACTGTAGTTTCTTAGTATGTGCAACATAATTGTACATAACTAAGATTTTAAAGCTTGTGAACGTTTGATATAGCCTTATTTCATGTTCTTTGTCTAGTTTTGGGATTAGGTAGAATCAAGTATTCAACTGTCTATAGAATCCAATGTTATATATGATTAGCATGCACGAGCGTCTGCGGGGTTGGTGGAAGTTTCATGAGTGAGTGTGGATGTATTAGGACAGTTTGAGGGATCATCAGTCACTCTTGAGAGTGTGAGTATAGGATGTATGAGTATCCTAGTCATTGGGTTTCGTATTTGGGTTGTCTATGATGTTCCTTAAGACAAATACAGGTAGGTGTGGAAGGTAGTATAGGCCCGTACTATCAGAAGCACAGGACTCATACGCGTAGCCTTGAAGTCACAAACCCCAAGGGTTAGTCTTTATGTGATGATTGTAATAGTATGAATTATGGAACGTATGATATATATTTTGGATCATTTTCAGTATGGTGTACATGAGAGGTTTTAGATCAGGAGCTGGTGACCCGGAGATTCCAGGTTTGACGGATGATAACACTTACGAGATGATCACCACTCAGGTGACCATGGTTGTTCGGGAGAAGATCATGGAATTTCCTGCGTCTATCAAGACCGTGATGATTGAGATGTTTGATGAGATTTAGGTCGCCCTCACTGAGACTGATACTGTTGTAGCCACCACAACCGTTGTTGTTGTGGGTAGCCGAGGAGGATGATCATTTTAGTGGCGGGATTTCAACAACATGAAGACCTCGGAGTTCGATGGGGTTAGGCCCAACCCATGAGGGTGGGAAACCTGGGCGACGCCCCAGGGCCCATTATTGGAATGGGGCCCCAAAATGAAGTTTCGTATCTAGTTATATATAAGTAGTGTTATTTTTTTAAATAAGTATAATTGTAGACCAACTGGGAAAGGCGCACCTTTTTCCTTTGATTCATGTCTCGAGTTCAATTCTGCCATTGCACATGATTTTTTTATGTTTATATTAAAATGGCTATGATTTTTTAAATTAATATTAAATGGCCACAGTAATTATATATATATATATATATATATATATATATATATATATATATATATATATATATATATATATATATATATATAAAGTTATTTTAACCTTAAATAGGTGTCGGCTCAAATGTTGGTTTACACACTTAAATTATTCAAATTGTTTTTTAATATTACACAAAAATCTAATTATAAATTAACAAATTTATTTATTTTTTTATGAAATATAAGTTAGTTATTTATCTATTTTTAATAAGAATCCTACTCACAAAAATTCATAAAATCGAGTTTTAATCAAGAAGCCCAATCTTAGAACTTGACAATAGTTTATTAAAATATTTTAAATTTATTTCATCTTTATTAATTGTTTTTTTTAACCGAAAAATATGATTCAGTCATAAACTATTTCTTGGTTTTATTTATGTTTCTAACAAGACTTATACCATCAATCTAAAAAAAAGAAAAGAAAATATTTGATACGGTTGTGATAGGAGCAATTTGTTTTTCGAAGGGCCACTATTTTATTCTTGCCCCGGGCACAAAATATGTTTGGATCGGCCCTGGATGGGGTCAAGGATTCGATCATTGCTAAGAGATGGTTATCAAATATGTTTCTTCACTTGTTCCTGTCTAAAGGACTGGAAGGTCATATGCGCCCTAAACCTTCTTCAATTG